GTTTAATTGCATGGAGGATTTCATCATGAGCTGACATCAGTTAGAGAACCATTGGAAAACCTGGGAGTACTGGACAGCTGTTTCGTCCTAGTTTGGGACTCTTCATCAGTACACACCCACAACCACGGTTCGAACCCAGGACCTTCTGGTTACAAGGCCAGCGAGCTCGTAGACCATTGAGCCACTGGGACCCGATCCAATGGCCAGTCCATGAATTCTAACTTCTGCCAATTTACGACATAGCGCGACCATTTCGCAATGTCTTCTTCGATGAGTTACTGCCTCATCTTCAACCTGCTGTACCCTACTGGTCACGGCTTCCCACTAGAACCCCAGGTTAACTGCCTGAATAGGGCCAGTCACCAGTGAGCATCAGATTAATTTTCAAGTATTGGTTTTGTAGGGATTTTTTGTTTGATCGCATGGAGGATTTCATCATGAATCGAATTAAATTAACAAAGAAACTGTATAACTGGCACAATCATCGTGTTTTCACTCTCCGTTGTCTGTAACAGAATGCATATCCGAAATCCATAGATGTCGAGTCACCTGACAACTCCAGTAGGTCGAATAAAGCAGCTCGATCTTCAGAAAGAAGGCAAAGCAATAAGTCCGACAGGGTGCTTATACTAAACTCGAATCCTAAACACCATAATTTTGAAAATACGTCTAATCATAAAATTCTAGATACTAGCACTTTGAACAGACATGAAGGCGTGATCTTAGCTGATGCATAGAAAAATACTTATTAATAAATAAAAATGGATATGTATCACTAATTATTAATACTTGTTCAAAATTCTCGACTGTCCATATCTTCTAATGGAAACGTTAAGAAATGTTTTGCAACTGTTTACCCACACACACATACACACTCTGTTTAAAGTGTTTAACAAAGGTAGACCGATATTTGTAAGTCCGAGGTCAAATTTTGATCATAGCTCATAAATATTATGTTTATTATACTTGGTGGTACTTTTTGAACGATTCATGACTGGACAAATTTTTAAAAACAAATGATGTTCCTTTTTATATATAAACCTATGTAATGTTAATTTCGATTAATTTCCCTGAAGAAGTTCGGACCAGATTGCCGAACGAAACGTTGGAATTACTCATTTCAATCTCGCTGAGACTTTACAAATATAAAAATTTTTACAAATGTAACAGTACATCTGTTATGGTATCAAAATAAAATTTACTAACTTGATCATCGTTCGTCAGTCTGAGGTCATCTTTCGTTGTCGAGTTAGCCAATTGGTAAACATAACAAAATCAAGTGTGGATTGTTGGATTTGATCGGTGTGTAAAATTACAAAAGCAGTGTGTGTGTACATAGTGAACGTGCATATCACATTCGTGTTGATTTTGTCACTTCATGGGGGAGGGAGGTGTTGTAACCAGGTCAGATTCTGTTTTAGTCCATCATTCCTATTCAGGCAATTTGGATTCCACTTGATATGAAGTGCTTCTGATATTAGACGTTCTTTATGATTCCTGAAATTTATTTCTGGATTATTTCAATATTGTCAAAATCAATTTTGTGGCCTGATTCTATAGCGTGTAGACCTGTGGCTGATGATTTTTCAAGTTTTCCCAGTTCAAGCTTACTGTTTGAAGTTCCAAAAGTCTTGGTGTCTTTTTATGTAATGGGATTGCTAGTACTACTTCCTGTCTTCCCTCTTTACCAGACCTACTACCAGATAAGCTCGGTTTAGGAGATCATCCGCTGGGAATCAAACCCCGAACTATCTGAGTGGTTGGCTAACATTCTACCACCTAACCACCGATACAGGGACATGTCAGTAGCAGTGAATGATTCCTAAATTGTTGGCCTATAGGTTCATAACCACTCACTGTTTACGCAAACTGGTTACTCTGAACATGAATATCCAGGTGCCCACATCATCTAGCACTCTCTCATGTTACTTCCGGTTGTTCGTGAATGATCTCTCGGTAGTAAGGCAGGCACTAGTGTTTAATAGTACTGATTCCGAAATAACCTTAACACTTTGAAGGATCTAACTGTTGTTCTCCTTTGGCCTACTAAACGTTTTATAGTCCAAGTCGGATTGAAGTATAATATAGGTGTACTACTGGGTAACTCGTGCTTTTCCAAAACTTCATCCTCTAAGTATGGTTAGCGCTATGCAATAGGTTAGATCGTGTGGAATCCTCGTGAAGTAGGTATCTGTTCCATGCAACATATATTAATTTGAAGCACAGCCTTAGGTTTCAGATAACAAAAAAATGGCTTTTGTCCTTCCAAATTACTCATAGTTAACTATTTGGTAAAACTTCTTAATTTTGACAAAGTACTGGTGTTATTTCATGCAATAGTGCCTGAGGTGATTCTTTTACGAAATAAATAGCTAAAAATCCTTATTTCACCTGCTATAGTCGTTTTATCTTGTGTATTATCTGAAGTGGAGGATAATGAAATGTAGCATACACCTTTTATGACTGGAAAACTCTTTATAACTTGTCTCATTATCCTCTTTTGTGAAAAAGCTTTATATAAATGTGATGGCGCTTTTTAAGCACTTCTAGTTCAACTGGATTTCTCGGTGGTCGAAGAGATGCTCTACGGTGTTCATTTCTTCTGATTTTGATTGCTCGAGATGTTTTCCCGATGTATGTCGCATCACATTCCAAGCATTTTATTTTATAGACACAATTAGATAGAGAATCTTTAGGGATCTGGTCTTTTATATGGACAAGGTTGTTTCGTAGTGTGTCTGATGTTTTAAAGAAAACTATAAGAAATCCAATTGAACTGGGAAAACTTGAAAAATCATCAGCCACAGGTCTACACGCTATAGAATCAGGCCACAAAATTGATTTTGACAATATTGAAATAATCCAGAAATAAATTTCAGGAATCATAAAGAACGTCTAATATCAGAAGCACTTCATATCAAGTGGAATCCAAATTGCCTGAATAGGAATGATGGACTAAAACAGAATCTGACCTGGTTACAACACCTCCCTCCCCCATGAAGTGACAAAATCAACACGAATGTGATATGCACGTTCACTATGTACACACACACTGCTTTTGTAATTTTACACACCGATCAAATCCAACAATCTACACTTGATTTTGTTATCTTTACCAATTGACCAACTTGACAACGAAAAATGACCCCAGACTGACGAACGATGATCAAGTTAGTAAACTTTATTTTGATACCATAACAGATGTACTATTACCTTTGTTATTTGGTTCAGTGATCTTCATTGTTATTTCGACTTTCAATATGTCCCCTTTTTAACTTGACCTAAGTCTATTTTCTCACCCCTTAACTCTTTGTTATATATATGCTGAGATTTTGTAAAATTCCGGTTTAATAATACTTTGATAAAGCTATTAGCAGCATTAAATAGCGAAACGTCAGTAAAAACAATATCGTTTTGTTTTCATTCATTGGGAAATACAAACAACCTTTATTATAATGAATATATCGACATACTCGTATACCTCGCTCCACAGCAGTCACTGGAGTCGTAGAGACACACAGAAGTAGTTTAATGCGGCATTTTGTCTTTCGAGTTATTGGAGAACATTGGGCAGCAATGGAATGCCATCACTTTGTTAACTAACCTTTCGTTCACTCTTCTCACCCACTGCATAATTTGTTTTGATACCTGTCTTTATGCTCTTTAATTACCATACAATTATTTGAATTCTTTTCATATTACACAACTTTAGACTAAATTTACTAGACTTCACCTCCTTCCTTAGTTACAATATGATTATTAATCACTGTTTTGAAATATTTTCATTATGTAAAAAATACACAAAACTAATTTTTATTCATGTTAAGGTGCACTGTTATCTTCCTTCTTTGATTTATGTGATCTCCACAGTCATTTTGACCTACATTACAACCTTTTAACTTGACCTTGGTCTCACTCCTTTCTTTAAATATTCCCATTTATAATATTAGAACAAGACATATAAGCGAACAATATTGTTTTCAATTAGATCTTCTTCAGGCTTTACTCTAATTTACATAGATTTATATATAAAAATTTTTAACCAATGACGGTGATTTTGGGAATCAAATAATAATAATAATGTGGTAAATGTTTTGAACGTAGTTAATAACGATGATTATAATGATAACAAAATATTGATAATAAGGTTTATGCAGGTGATAAGAATAACAAAGATAGTATATGTATATAAGTGTATAAATAAATTAGGTCAAATCTTAAAAGGTGAAGTGGAACGATAATCAGAGTTTAAATAAATATTATAAAAGAACGAAGGAAATGGAAAATAAGAAAGGGTGGGAGGGTTTTGAATAGAATTCACCTAGGCAAGCAAGGGAGAGACAAAGGTAGAACAAACTTCTTTTGTATGCAAAGACTAGGATTGTTCTCTCGAATTAATTCCCATAGCTTCGGCTAGGTGTAAAAGACGGGTTCTGATTCCATTCGAAAGACTCGATGGAATACGATAGATAACTTTGAAAGCACTATTTTTGTCCACTTGGTGACCGCTATCAATCAAATGAGCGAAAATAGAACTTCGTATGGATTTTATTTGACCTTTTCCAAACCATGAAGGAAGATGCTCATTGATGCGTTTGTTCAGCTGTCTAGTTGTTCGCCCTTTCTCTCCACTTAACGCTTTAATATTTTCGTACAAATCCCTGTGACAACTATGCTTAAGTTCAGGCTGTTCGAAATGTAATGCGCAAATACCATACACAAAATTCATATGAATTACGTCTTCTTGTCGCCTTATCGAAATTCATTAAAGTGAACTAATAGTTTTGAAATCAATTGATTGGTGAGTATTTCGCAGTCTAATTCTGCAGTTATGATTTTCATCAAGGCAAGAAAAAAAAACAACTAATCAGATTATTTTTGTTATCACTTAAACTTCACAATATATAAACGATAATAATGCAATATGCTTAAAAAGTGCACATTTATCCTACATTATAAATGATCACTGATCACAAATGAAAATCTTTGAACAGAAAACAATGCCTGTATTAACATCAAAAGTGGATAGGAAGTATATTCATGTCGGTTCCCTTGCAAATATATTCCTAATCCTCATCGTTATGGACAGCATCCGACAAGTTCAAAGCAATCAACAGATAGACAGCATACGATTGAATGAAACGAACGCAGACGACAAAAGTGATAAGATTTCACTTGAAAATACTCTGGAAAATAATACTATAACGAGAAATCATTCCAAAGATGGAAAGAGAGATAGTGTAATAGCAAAAGTGAGTTCCACTACTAGTACAAGTGGGATAGGTGGAGGAGAGATTGGTGGTCGTAATGATGGTCGTCTGGGAGGAATGGGAGGTGAGAGCCATGTTGAGGAAGGTGGATGGAGTTCGACTGTTGTGACAGGAGGTGGAGCGGGAAGCTCCCAATCACATATGATGGGTTCCAGTAGTGGTACTCATGAAAGTGGTGGGGGACAGACATCCACAAAGACGGTTGGTTTGGGGTCTGGTGCGGGTGGGAGCAGTCACCAAGTATTCAGTGTGATGGTAGGTGGTGGTGGTGGTGGTGGACAGCGAGAATCATCCACTCGAACAGTCACAGTGAATTCTGGTGGTGGATCTCATCAGTCTAGCGGAGCAGGCTTCAGTGGTCGTAATAATGGTCGTCTGGGAGGAATGGGAGGTGAGAGCCATGTTGAGGAAGGTGGATGGAGTTCGACGGTTGTGACAGGAGGTGGAGCGGGAAGTTCCCAATCACATATGATGGGTTCCAGTAGTGGTACTCATGAAAGTGGTGGGGAACAGACATCCAAAAAGACGGTTGGTTTTGGGTCTGGTGCGGGTGGGAGCAGTCATCAAGTATTCAGTGTGATGGTAGGTGGTGGTGGTGGTGGTGGACAGCGAGAATCATCCACTCGAACAGTTACAGTGAATTCTGGTGGTGGATCTCATCAGTCTAGCGGAGCAGGCTTCAGTGGTCGTAATAATGGTCGTCTGGGAGGAATGTGAGGTGAGAGCCATGTTGAGGAAGGTGGATGGAGTTCGAGGGTTGTGACAGGAGGTGGAGCGGGAGGCTCCCAATCACATATGATGGGTTCCAGTAGTGGTACTCATGAAAGTGGTGGGGAACAGACATCCAAAAAGACGGTTGGTTTTGGGTCTGGTGCGGGTGGGAGCAGTCATCAAGTATTCAGTGTGATGGTAGGTGGTGGTGGTGGTGGTGGACAGCGAGAATCATCCACTCGAACAGTCACAGTGAATTCTGGTGGTGGATCTCACCAGTCTAGAGGAGCAGGCTTCAGTGGTCGTAATGATGGTCGTCTGGGAGGAATGTGAGGTGAGAGCCATGTTGAGGAAGGTGGATGGAGTTCGACGGTTGTGACAGGAGGTGGAGCGGGAGGCTCCCAATCACATATGATGGGTTCCAGTAGTGGTACTCATGAAAGTGGTGGGGGACAGACACCCACAAAGACGGTTGGTTTGGGGTCTGGTGCAGGTGGGAGCAGTCACCAAGTATGGAGTGTGATGGTAGGTGGTGGTGGTGGTGGACAGCGAGAATCATCCACTCGAACAGTTACAGTGAATTCTGGTGGTGGATCTCATCAGTCTAGCGGAGCAGGCTTCAGTGGTCGTAATAATGGTCGTCTGGGAGGAATTGGAGGTGAGAGAATTATTGAATCAGATGGATGGAGTTCGTCAGTTACGACAGGGAGCGGAGCAGCAGGCTCTCATAAAGAAACAGAAGATTCTGCTGGTCGCCACGATGTCCGTGTTGAACATGATATGTCTGAGAATAAAACAAGTGTCGGAGGAGGAGAGTTTGGTAGCAGCCATAATCCGGGTACTTTGAGTGAAAATCATGAAAGTCATGTGACCATTACAAGTGAGGATGGTATGTTAAGTGGAGAAGGATCAACAAAAACAGAAGTTGTAGATGCCAAGGTTGTTACTAATGGTGACAAGGATGGTAACTTTACTTCCTCTGTTCACAACTCAACAAGAATTACTGTAACAGATTCAGATACAAATAAAACAAGTCGACCTATACAAAAATATTGGAAATATCACAAAAAGCTTTCATCATATCGCTTTAAAAAATTTAAAAATCGCAAGCGTCCGTATGGTTCAACTTTTTCATCTGAAGTCTACTTAAACAAATTCAAAAAACCTTCAAGATATAAATACAGATATAATAATGATCTTGATGATACGGACAAACAAGATGATGATTTCACTGATACCACAGTGGATTTTAATGATTCCACAGATATTTTCGAAGAGTAACTGCGATAAAGGAGGCCCAGTGTTATTCTTCTTTTAGACGGATTGTCTTTGCTAAGTAATGGAGACAATTAAATTTAAATACATTCTACTAACGTAAACATGGTAATGCCATATTAATAACTAACTTCAGAGTGTTCATAAAATACTTAATTTTAACATTGTCACAATGTGTTATGAAACATTTACGATTGTTTTTAATAAAATAGATAAAATGTAATATTTTATCAACTGAAATAAATAACATTCATATGTTTCTGTTTTCTGCTTTTGAAAAAAAAAGAATTCATATTAAAACTAGTTTGCAATAAGCGGCCATTAATATTAAATGACTTAGAATGCAACGATTTGACACGGAGATAACGGGTATAATTAAAAGAAGTAAATGACAAGAATATACCAAGGTAGAGAATAGGAGTTCGATGGAGATTATTTTTGGCGTTAAAAACAAAACTAATTAGCACATTTTATGTATTAAGTTGTGTAATTTTCAAAAAAAATAATAAAGTGATTAAATATGCAATTAATAGTGTTCTCTGAGCTAGTTGGTTTGGTTGCGGAGCTTTCGTCGTCCCCCTGCTGGACAACATCTTCAGCGCAATATTTAGCATAAAGTGAAATGATTTAAATTTCTTCATCAGTGATAGATATAATTGCGTCTCCCGGTAACCATCTTTACATATGTATTGACCATTTTCTATTGACTTGGATTTTAAACTTTCTGGTCACCTGATTTACTTTTTATTAGTTGGTATATTTCGTCCATATTAACGTGTTTGTTAATTGCATTTTCGTTTGAGTACCAGGCTTCTGGTACTTTTGGTGTTTCCTCTGTCTAAGATTTCGACATTATCCCAATCAAATTGATGTCCATAATTGTCTATATGCATTGATACTAAAGAATACATATCGTGTCTTTTCACGGCTGATTTGTGATCTTGGATTCTAATTCGAAGGGGACGCCCACTTTGGCCGATGTAATGCCTGTTGCAGTCCATACTATTTATTTTGTAAATGCTATTAATTTTATCTACTTTTTCTGTTGGATCTTTTGGTTCGCACAATATCGAATTAAGCGATTTGACTGGCTTGTGTGCTATATCTATATCAAACGGTTTCAATATTCTAGCTGTTATTTGAGAGATATTTCTCATGTATGGTAGGATGAATTTTCTTGTGGTCTTTGATGATGGTTTCTTGTTGGTGTTTTGATTCGACTCTAAACACTTTTTGATGAAATTTTGTGGATAACCATTCTTTTTGAAGACCGTTTGTAGGCATTTTTCTTCTATTCTTTTCAACTCTGGAGTGCTACAGTGTGTTTGAATTCTTTTAAACAATGTCTGCACACAGTTTCGTTTGTGAGTAATTGGATTATTGCTAGTATAGTTGAGTATTTGATCTGTGTGCGTTGATTTTCTATATACTTGTATTTCTAAATTTCCTGTGTTGGTTCTCCTGATTAAGACATCTAAAAATAGGATTTTGTTATCTAATTCTTCTTCTCTTGTGAATTTGATGTCTTCAAATATGTTGTTTATTAATTTATGGGTATTTTCTAAATCATTTCTCTTAATTATTACAAATGTATCATCAACGTAACGTACCCAGATTTTCGGTTTAATTATAGGTAGAGCTATTAATTCTAATATTTGCTTAACAGCTTCAGCTATTAATCCTGATATGGGCGATCCCATTGGTGTTCCTTTTATTTGTTCGTATATTTGAGTAATGAATTGGAAGTATGTTGTAAGGCATAATTTTATGAGTTCTATCCAAGTTGAACATTGCTTTTTTATGTTTTCATCACTATAGCGTAATTGTTGCATAGTTTCTGTTGCTAGTTTTTGACTAATTGAAGTATATAATGCTGTGACATCAAAGGACACCATTATTTCATTGTCATCTACTTGAATGTTTGTGATTTTCTCTAAAAAATTGGATTGACGAATTGATAGAATGGTTGCATGATTCTGTTAGGTAATTTAATTTCCTGAAAAGTTCTTTAGATAGATTCTATGTTGGTGTTCCTGGAAGCGAAACGATTGGTCGTAAGTGATTAAATATGCTGACAATTAGCTGAATGGTTACAGGATTTCATCATGAGATGACATTGGTTAGAGAACCATTGGAAAACCTGGGAGTACTGAACAACTGTTTCGTCCTACTTTGGGGGTCTTCAGTGGTACGCACCCCCGGGGTTCGAACCCAGGACCTTCTGGTTACAAGGCGAGCTCGTATACCATTAAGCCACTGGGACCCGATCCAATGGCCCATGAATTCTAACTTCTGTAACTTATTTTCTTAACCTGTTTTAAAATGAATAGCTATTGATTTTTTCGCTATCTAAAATTAGTCAATGCCTTCTTAGCAAATTATCTTAAGCTAAATCCTTCTACACGGTAGATTAGTAATTTAACTTTCAGACATAATCGAAATTTACATAGACTAGTTCGTTCTGATGATTCGTATAACATAGGGAGAAGTGAAGTAGATAGTAAGTTAAGACTTATATATCTTGGGTTTAGTTAGTCTTTCCTCTGATCTTTCCTGTCGATTTCTAGGAAAATAAATAAGACAATCACTCAGCCTCTACGTCTACAGTTTGTTAACCCATGTATTTCGCCTATTCTTCTTTCTTGCTCCTCCCCACATTATATCTTCATAGGCTAGTGAAAAACGACTCTATCAGATTGTATGGGACAAAATAGGCTGTTGGTAGGGTGTGTGTGTGTGGGTCTGTGCCTCTAAGCCAACTTGTTCACACTGTTGCTGAAAGACACTTAAACTCATTCAGGAAATCGGCAATTATCATCGTCTTGGATTGTCAGCAACCGTTCTATGCACAAATCTCCTCTTTCATCCTCTCCGGTGGAAACTTTGATCAGTTATAAAACTGTCTGTCACATTTGTCAATATATATAGACGAAAACCAGCTGAACATCGGATTACCGACGACTTGTTTAAAAGAACTACTACTGAGATGTACACTTAATGTACAATTCACATTCAACGATGTTATTTACAGACAACAAGATGGGATCGCAATCGGATCTCCACTGGGCCCATTGGTAGCAGACTGCTTCATGGCAAACCTCGAGAACGGCCCACTCAAATCAACTATTGATAATTTCCAATTGTATGCTAGATATGTGGACGACATCTTTATTATCTGTGATGATGGTCACGATCTTAATCAGTTACTACAAATATTCAACAACTGCCATTCAGCTACAAAGTTTACTCTTGAAATAGAAAACGGATCTAAAATTCCTTTTCTTGATGTTGAACTTACAAGGAGAGCTGATGGAAATTTAAGAAGGTCCATCCATAGGAAACCCACATGGAACGGCCAACTGACAAGCTTCTACAGCTGGATAATAATCAGTCGAAAAAGAAACCTAATTAGATCTCTTGCTACTCGTGTCCGATGCATCTGCAGCTCTGATACCCTGGAAGAAGAACACTTCCCGAAAGAAATCTTCATACAAAACGGTTATCCACCAAGATTCACAGACAAAAACACCAAACAGCAAATCCAAAAGCAAGAGACGCCTTCTGTGCCAAAAATTGTACTTTATATGAACCTCGACTTCAAAGGTGACCTACTCAGTAATGTCCTTAGGAGGAGAATTTCCACTTCTTTAAGAAGAACTTTCTTTGCGGCAACATTGAGAGTAGTGTTCTTCAGTCACCCGCTGATCTGCAGAAGCCCAAAGGACAAGATCTCGCACCTGATAACTTCTATTTGTATATATCAGTTCACCTGTTGCTGTGGAGCCAGGTACGCCGGTCGTTCGACACGCATCCTGTCAAATAGGCAGGAAGAAATGGAGATGGATTGGCCATACTCTGAGGAAACCATCAAGTGATATCACTAGACAAGCCATTGCTCGAGTGGAACCCGAAAGGGAAGCGGTGAGTTGGTCGTCAGTGAGAGGGTGACTTGGATGAGGTCATGTGAAGAGGGGATGAAAGCATGTGGGCAGACTTGGAGCCAGGTGAAGACTCTAGCAGAGAACCGAACGCAATGGAGACGCACGGCTGAAGCCCTATGTTCCTCTAGGAATTAAAGGAAACAATAATAATAATATAGGTGGGTGGAGAGAGAGAGGTTGATTTCTGAATCTTCGTTCATAAAATCTACACCTAACACATGCAATAGGAATGACTCATCACCAATACCAGAGCTATGAAAAATATTACCAGCAATCATATCAAGAGATGAAAAATAATGGAATTATATAAACGAAGTTAGAAAGTTGTGTGAGAAACTTGATATGATTATGACCAACAATATAAATTGTGTTCGAAGCGTCGTCATCAGTAAATATTTTTGTATAACACTGTAAGACTTTATCCAAATAAATTTTACCCGTAATGGAATTCTTTCAGTTAATTTCATCATGAGGTGACATTAGTTAGAGAACCATTGGAAAACCTGCAGGGAGTACTGGACAGCTGTTTCGTCCTAGTTTGGGACTCTTCATCAGTACACACCCACAACCACGGTTCAAACCCAGGACCTTCTGGTTACAAGGCGAGCTCGTATACCATTACGCCACTGTGACCCGATCAATGGCCCATGAATTTGAACTTCTGCCAATTCACGACTCTAACTAATGTCACCTCATGATGAAATCCTGTAACCAATCAAATCCCTACACACCAACACTTGAATATCAACGAGATGCTCATTAGCGACTTGCCTTATTCAGGTAGGTAGTTACCTTCGGATCTAGTGGGAAGTCGTGACCAATGCGGTACAGCAGGTCAGGTGTGAGGACAAATGCTCTCCGAAGACATTGGCTAGGGGTCGCGCTATATCGTGAATTGGCAGAAGTTAGAATTCAAGGACCAGTGGATCGGGTCCCAGTGGCTCAATGGTCTACGAGCTCGCCTTGTAACCAGAAGGTTCTGGGTTCGAACCCCGGTGGGTGCGTACTGTGAAGAGTCCCAAACTAGGACGAAACCGCTGTCCAGTACTCCCTGCAGGTTTTCCAATGGTTCTCTAACTAATGTCACCTCATGATGAAATCCTGTAACCAATCAAATTCCTACACACCAACACTTTAATATCTTTCAGTTAACTTGGATTTTTATTCTGATATTTCATACACTTATCAAGCTTATTGTTAAGTCCCCCACCCCCGTCAACAATCCTCATTCAAAATAAAACAGATATAATTTTAAGTGACCCACTTTTATGAGATTTATAATTCTAAAATCCATTGTAGATTAGCCAGAATTCTAAACAAAACTTGATAAACTTATTCAATAAATATAATAATAATTTCCAACTGCGTCATTTATATACATATATATAAAGACAGAGAGAAAGCAGAAAAGGATAAAACAAAAAACAGTTAAAATTTCTATTTCTGCATAGAAGTGCATATCTACTATTCTTCTTCACTTGTTTATAATTGAATATTGATCCCAGTTAATTGTGTATATGTTGAATTCTTATATATAAATGCGGTCTTACGCATGCTTAGAGAGATGAAAACAATAAGCAATGCTCGTCAAATGCATATTCACTAGTATTTTGACATATATGCTAATATCCGCAGTTATTGGAGATGGCCTTGATCATACAGATCAACAGAATCACGATGTAGATGATCCAGTCCCACCAACAAGGCAAGAATCTACTTTGGAAGAAAACAGCAAGAAAAATAATAAGCTGAAGGTAGAAATTCAAACCAAGAAAGATAGACATCGTTATAAACGGAAACATGAAGTCAAGTTAGACGGAGAACGTCAGATATATGGACAAGGAAAATTTGGAAGGGAATTATACAAAAATGTAAGACTCAGAAAGCATAAAGGACCTAATGACAAACGATTTCGAAAAAAAGTTGATGTAAATGGACATTTAAGAGACTATTCACAGCGGTATGAATATATTTCACATGATCTTGAAGGTGTGGAAAATGACGAATTCTCATTCAAAAAATGGATGGAAGAGAATTCAGATGCTAAGGTGCATGAGACTCAGACAGTTGAACACACAAAAAAAGGTGTAATATGAAACTCATATCATCTATGATAAGACAAAAATAATGAAAATAAATTACAGTCTGAGACAATAAAATTAGGCATAATCACCTTGATAAATAAACCTGTTTGCATAAACTACAGTTCTGTGTTTTGATGTCTAAATTAATTTATCTAACAAATTCATACATTTAACAGACTGGAGAGTTGTTGTACTTTTGTTTTAATGTTACGTGTTAAATACACAGTGTTCAGAGGAGTATACTGCTTCGCTATGAATCCATACTATTCCAGTTTCATTGTGTTTCATATTTCAGAAATCATTCAATAAAACACAATAGGAATAAAAGTTTTATATTTTAAGAAAAGCAACATTAGGACGTACGCCATAGATCATTAGCGCTGAAGTTCTGCTATCTCAGCAGAGTTAACTAGACAAAAACAAAAAATCTGTTCGTTGGTGGTTCAGTGGTGGGATGCTCGCCATCTGGGCATGTGGTCAACGGGTCATTTCCCTTAGCTAGTTGTAAGCCCGACAAAGAGGAAAGGTTGGGTGTGTGTAAGGCTAGCAAACCCACCTCGTAGAAGAAACAACACCACTGCTACTGAAACTTCAAAGTTCAAGCTCGACGTCCTATGTTCCACTTGGAATACATAGGAATGACATATGGTATATGAATTAGAGCAATTTTACCGAAAACAAATTTGCGTTTCATGGAATTATTCTAGGAATTCTATTTGAAGTACTACGATTTGAGAATAATAGAACTAAAAGTTTCAAATAGGTAGGCGAAAAATAAACCAGAACCTTTTTCCCCAGAAAACTCTTGAGTCGAACAACTTAAGATTAGAGAGTAATTAATTTTTTGATATTGGTTGCAATTTTGACATCACATTACACAGTATCAAAACCTATTTTGTTTTAAAACTGGTGAAATATATATATGCTATACGGTGAAAGAATCTCATTGGAAAGAGACTGACTAAAACAGCTTTTGTTCTTCTTATTCTTTCATGGGCACTGAGTGTAACATAGAGCTGAAACAGCACATTTTCATTCCACTTAGTTCCCGGATTTTCAACTCCAATGTGAAGTCAGTGCTACTCACTATACGGATCAGAGACTTGCACTGCGCGTCACAAAGAGCATCTCAAACAAACTACACACCTTCATTAACAGTTGTCTTCGCTCAATACTCAAGATCAGATGGCCGGCCAGAAAAGATCAGCAACAGAGATCTCCGGCAATGAGCGAACCAACCAGGAAACGATTGTAAAACAAGTAGGCAGGAAGAAATGGAGATGGATTGACCATACTCTGAGGAAACCCATCAAGTGACTTCACTAGACAAGCCATTGCTCGAGTGGAACCCGAAAGGGAAGCGGCGAGTTGGTCTTCAGTGTGAGGGTGACTTGGAGGAGGTCATGTGAAGAGGAGATGAAAGCATGTGGGCAGACTTGGAGCCAGGTAAAAACTCTTGCAGAGAAACGAACTCAATAGAGACGCACTGCCGAAGCCCTATATTCCTCTAGGAATTAAAGGAAATAATAATAATAGTTCCCGGCCGTCAGTTTCAGCTGGCTGCCTTCCCAACTGTCTACAAGTTTTAATTTCCTCTTCACATGATCTTCTCTATGTTACACCCGGACAACCATCCAGTCGGCCTGATGTTTGATGGCACTCAACGGTCTAATCAACGTACGTCCAATCCATTTTCATTTTCTTCTGCATATTTGTTGGATAATAAGTTGTTGGCTGATTCCTTGTCAGAATTCTTGGTTCCTTAACTTTTCCAGCCGGTCATCTAATCTTGAGTATCGAGAGAAAGTAGTTGTTGGTGAAAGTCTGTGTTAGCCTGTTGGAAATGCTTCGATAACACGCCAAGTCATTGAACCATATAAAAGCACTAACTTGATATCGGCGTAAAAGTATCGAAATATTCAACGACAGATAGAAGAAGAAGAAAGCAAGAGCATATTTTAGAAAGGGACGTGTATTCAAATTGTCATACGTTTCGAGACATATAAAGCAACATATTAGACAAGTAATTAAAAACAAGTGTTGGTTTTCAGGAAACTGATTGGTTAAAGGTTTGGTCACCAGTTAACATCACTGAGGGAGCCACTGGAAAGCCAAGGAGTACTGGACAGCTGTTTTGTCCTGAAACCAACCGAATCCCTCAAACCAACACTTGATAATCAGTCTAATGCTCGCTAGCGACTGCCTTTATACATGAAGTTACTTGAGGTTCTACTGAGAAGTATATATATATATATATATATATGCATTTATTATTATTATTGTATCCTTTAATTCCTAGTGGAACATAGGGCTTCAGCCGTGCGTCTCCATTGCGTTCGGTTCTCTGCTAGAGTCTTCACCTGGCTCCATGTCTCCCCACACGTTTTCATCTCCTCTTCACATGACCTCCTCCAAGTCACCCTTGCACTGACGACCAACTGTCTCAACTCACAGGGAATTTAATACATTTTAGCACAGTGACAGATTAAGAGGCGTGAATACAAGATAATTATTAACAGAACAATTAGAGATTAATTTTGATCACAAACTGAATTCACTTTGAAAACTACTGGAAATCAGGGAGTATTATTTTTTCTTCATGGATATGGGAGTACTGGACAGCTAATTACTCCTTTTTGGGACTCCCCGGGGCGAGCGTACTCATGACCCACTGGGGATCTAACCAAGGACGGTCAAGTTATAGGGTGAGCTCTGTGACTTTCCAACCATCAGTCTTTACTTCTACTAATTCATGAAGTCATTTTGTGATCCAACTTGAAATCACTCAAATTTCTGAAGACCAACACTTGAAAATCAGAGACTGTTTTGTCTGTTAACGAGTGAAGAAAACCTCTGAAGTTAAGAATGAGACATTCTTATCTTGCAAGCATCTTCGTCTTCGCTTTATTCGAACTGATTAACTGAACTGGGTGTATGGAACAATCTTCTGACTGTAGTTTATTGTAAACAGGTTATTCTGAATTAACTAAATAGATTGCTAAGTCATCTTCATATGCTTAAGTTTTGTTTTTAAATGCACTCTCCGCCAAAGCTGTGATTCTAGTCTGCCCTTTCCTTTGAACTGGTTAACACACATACGCTCAGCGTCTGTAGTTCAGACACAATTTGAAGGCAAGTTCTAAAACATTTTCATTTTATTTAGATATATTGACTTCCGAATCACATTTCCAAGCAGTTGTGTCTTCTTCAATTGCTTTTCACTACATGTTAACTAAAATGCTGGTTAAGCCCATGTTTACTGATTTAATAACTGGTTTCAACATACAACTTTGCATAGATATGCAGCAGTTTGAGTTGACACGCTCCTTACATGTAGCACACAAAGCAAGAGAAGACAGTAAAGAGAGATTCAAAAGACAGATAATAAACAGAAATGAGGCAAAAAGAATAGTAATATGGAAGAACAATACATTTTTATTGGATTATATAAGTCACAAGGAGTGGATGCATCTGCTCTAGTCATTGAGAACGAGGATTTTGAGCCATATCACCAATTATCCCCAGCTGTCATTGCTTTTTACCGTCACGAGGACCGCAACCAAACAGCAGTCTACACCTTCCCATGTGAATGGCTTAAACTAACTGTTGTGGATTTCATTGACCAATGAAGCCATGTTTTCGTTTGACCACCACTAGCTCTACTCCAACTTGATCAATCGTATGTCAGCTAACATTGCCCGTCGATGAATGCGATCGGTGGCTAGGTATGCGTAACACATGTTCTAACCATCTCTGTCGGTGTGACTTCCCAACCTCGTCGATTGATTTCCCCTCCTTACCTGGCACTCGACCGAAGCCTAACCTCAATATTGCTCACCCTATTTATACCACTTCACACGTGAGACAGAACTCAGGTACCTATGATCAAAGACAGCTAGCCAGGCTTCTCATGTCTTCCATTTTCAATGACTGTCTTACAGCCATAAAGGAGGACAGGGTGAACATCTGCGCAGTACCAATGCTACAGTATGCAGGGTTTTGTAGGACTAATTCAGTGTTACATAGTAGCAACAAATTCAGTACCTCGTAGATAAAAAAATACTTCTGTACAATTTAGAAATGATACAGAAGATTTGTAGCTCAGGTGGATAATTTTGATGTGGTTGTGTTCTCTGAGCTGGATAGTTGATTTGCGAAGCTTTCATCACCCTACTAGGTGACATCTACAGCGCATACTTCAATTTGAAGTGAGCTTTCAGATTTCTCCACGAGTTTATTAATCATCTCTCCTGGCGGCCTCGGACGTGATTGGTTGTTTTTGTGTGTTTTCACACCTTCTAGGTTACTTGTATTGTCACTCATTGTTTCTTTGACTTCGACTGGGACAACGTTCAAATATTAGACAGAGGAAACAACAAAAATGCTAGAGAATTTTTAGAAGCTTGGCATTCCAGTGAATCATCAATCAATAGACACATCGAGATAGACAAAATTTATCAACCGATAAGAAAGAAACGTCACACACAAAGGGTCAAAGTTCAAGTCAAAGAAACAATCAGTTCGAATACAAGTAGCCTAGAAGGTGTGAAAACACACAAAAACAACCCATCACGGCCAAGGTCACCGAGACAGATGATTAATAAACTCGTGGAGAAATCTAAAAACTGACTTCAACAAATTGAAGTATGCGCTGAAGATGTCACCTAGTAGGGTGATGAAAGCTTCGCAAATCAACTATCCAGCTCAGAGAACACAACCACATAAAAAAAAAACTTCTGTACAGTTTGAACAAATTACGAAAAACACATTGACTAGGATAGAATGACGTCGTCATACTTCGCTGGTTCTTGTCAGCTGCGTAAAACCATGAACAGTTTTAATATCAACATGCGAAATATTCAAATACTGCAGTCAATGGTCATAAAGGTGAAGGATATTATGAATACAATGTGATAAAATAGCACAATGGAAAGCAATAAAAGTCATTGTTAAACTCCTTAGTAAGTGTAGAGATGATCAGAGAGTATTCTGGGATTACGAACGAACTACAC